GGATAGACCATTTGTATTGCTTGTGTAAAGTATGTCTGGGCAGATAATGGAGAAGAAAGTGTAACATACAGTTTTCCCTCATCCTGCTGGAAGATCAGAGTTGCAATCTGTACTTTTAAAACATAGACAGTTGATTGAAATGGATTTGTTACAAATTACTTTGATCAGAATTAACTATGGATGAAGAGTAAAAGAGGCCAGTTTTCCAAGTGGTGGTTTGGAGAAATACCATATACCCTTTTAATAGTGAGGGAAGTGTTGAACATGAATAGGAAAGGAATGGAATGGCATGGGTTTTATTTAGGAATGCAAATTTTGTCTATTTCTTTGGTCTGTGTTGCAGAGGACTGGAAAAAAGAGATATTCTGGAGGATACAGTTAACAATATTTAAGATAAAAGGAGGTGAAAGTCTGTGAGCTGACTCCTATCAGAGCTGAAAGCAAGGCAACAATATCTATACCAGTTATTGAGGAATATTTCTCAGATTAAATGTTGCTAATGAATCAGCAAATAACAAAGAAATGAAGGAATAGCAATTATTTAGGATGATAACAGAGTAAGCAGGCACCAAGAATACACCAAGACTAGATAATAATTGGGAAGACAGACCTGTTTCATAATAGTAACATGTCATATTGCAGTCCTAAATCCAAAAAAAAACCCCAACAAAAATGTATGGTTTTGTATCATTAGGTGACAGAGTTAACCTCATGTAATTTAACAACTGGAAAGAGAGATATACAGATTACTAGATGCCCATTAATCTGCCTTTAGTAGTCTTACTAAGCTTTTGAATAAATGAAAGAAATTAATTAAATACCTGAAAGTAAATGGAAGGTAGAGTAAAATGCAGCAAATGTTTATCAGCAGTTGATTGTTCAGGATTAACATGATCTCCTTCTCTGATAAAGCACAGTAGTTTGTTTCTTTTTTCTCAGGAGAAATGTAATAGAGCTAATTCGTCAGATGTCAATAAAATATTTGATATACTGTAATAATGGAAAATATTAGCTAAACCAGGGAAGATGGGGTTTGAGAGATGAAATGCAAAGTGAGTTGTGAACTGGCAAATGGAATTGTCTCACAATTTATACTGATGGGTTAACAGCTGGCTGAGAGATTAGAACTGCTCAGAGATCAGTGTCAGAGCTGATCCTGTTTAATGCTTGGACGTTGGTTCAAAATAAGGAATATCTTGATGAAATGTGCTGATGATACAGAGTGAACCTAGAAAAATAAGTAGACATATTTGGATGACACCATGGAAGTTACTGGTACAGAGTAATGCTGTTAATGACAGTAAGAATTTCAGTACAAAGATGGAGATCATTGCTTGGAAGTGATTGAAGAGAAGAAGGATGGGAAAGTACCGAAGGTATTTAATGTATTGATCAATATCAGGGTGACTTTGAGCCACTATTCTGAGGGAGTCGGGAAAATGCTATATATCAAGCAAAATAATTTCAATGGAGAAATACAAAAAAGTTGATCAACTCTGAAATCACAAAACATTGAGAAGACATCCTCCAGAATACTCATTAGATCACAAGTGCGAGTGGGAACAGAGCTACAAGGAAGAACAAAAATAGAAAATTTATTTTCCAACAAGAGACTTGTTTTCATAAAAATACAGACTGCGAGAAATTATGACTGCTCTCTACAAAGTCATCAGATGTAAATCCCAAACTAGAACAAAAGTTGATTAAGACACAAGTCCATGTTACTAAATAAAATACCAAACAAAACATCATCTGTAAACTCTCTTTGGATAAATTTTGGATAAAAAGAAAGTGTATCACACTTGAAGGGATGAAGTTCTAGACCTGCCTTTCAGAAGGAGCCGTAGAGCAAGAAAGTTCTCAAAATGGAGCCAGCAAGAGTTTGTAAGCAGCAGTACCTAAAATGTAGGTGTTCATATCGGGAAGGGACACAACTCAGTGACTAGGAACTTACTTCCAGTTCTCTGTTTTGTGGCAGCTTTTAACTTCAGAGCCTGGTTCAGGAGGCAAGTGTGGTTTTGAAGTTTGGTTTTTTGGGGTTTTTTTTTTATATGTAATGCAGCCTTATTCCTAAAAGGTTTATAAAGAACGAAATTGCCTAGAAACATAAGCTTTTAATACAAATTGACTACAAATAGAGCATGAGTTGGTTTTGAGTGTATATATTTTGTGTATATACTAAATGATAAACATAAAGTAGATAAACCATTTGATTGCATATGCTTAGATAATTTTAAAAATACAAATTTCTTAGCAAGATGTATACTGAAATACATAAGCAAGGTACCTTCTCTCTTATTCATATCTTACCATCACTCTATAGCAAGAAAAGTGTTTGAAAGATAATAGAGTTTAAAGTTTGAAATTATATCCCTCTTGATACCTCTACTGAATTCAAAAGCGTGGTTTTGTAATTTTTACATTCCGGTTACCTAAAATTTCCTGTAAACTCTATTTTAGTGGGCAAGGTTTGTTCAAAAAGTGGATGGATAACCAGCGCATTATGTTATGGAAATTTGCTAATGAATTTAATAGAAAATAAATCTTATAATTCTATCTGATAAAATAAACTAAAAGGAAATTGAGAGTAGAGGAAGGACTTAAGGAAATGATCCTATAGTCTGATTTAAACTCCAGTTAGCACCAATATTAATTCCTTATTTCTGACTACATCATATTTAGAACAGGGAAAGGCAGATTAGCAAAAAAGAAATTTTGCAGATGCAGGCTAGGCTAGTCCAACCATCGTACTAGAAGTATAAAATTAACATCAAGGAGTTTGCTGAATATCTCTGTTTTTATGACTTCATATGCTCCATTAAATGATACAGATAAATATCTGTTTTTCATATTTCCTTAGATTAAGTCGTTTACCTCAGTTATATAGTCAATAATGCAGTATCTTTACTAGTTATGCTACAATAAAAGTAAGATATACTGCACTAAAATGTGAAACTAGTTGCTAGCATTACGTGTGAGACTTCATATAAATAGCTGGAAAAATTCACATAGAAAAATGTTTAGTTTGGTCATTGGAATAGTTGTAACGTAATGCATGTTCAAATGTAAATGAAGGAGAAAATACATCAAAAGCAGTTATTTTGAAAGGCTGGAAAAATACAAAACCATATCCAGATTTTAGGAACTTTTGTAGATATTTATATCCATGAATAAAAGTTACTTTTAAGAGATTATTTTTAAGATTTAAAGTTACATTTAAGAGATATGGATTCAGATAAACAGTAAATTGTTTGGATGTTTGGAAATGTGATATTATATGCTCTTGCTTTTCTTCCGTGGTGCTGAGAACACAACAGAAAGTCGTCACCTATTAGCTTAATAGGAGTAATCAGCTCTATCTGTGCATTTAGCCTGACACACAAAACTAAATGAATTTGCTTAAACCATGTTGAAATCATAATTTATTGAACTGTGATAATTGACTCAGGTAATTTCACTGTATTTTACTGTGAAAACAAAAACTTAAAATGCTTTGTTTCTTGCTTTAGAAGAGCATTTCTTTAAGGACTATTTTTAACCAAGCCAGTATTTTCAGATCTTTTTGAAAAAGAAAGAATGGGTGGCCTTGAATACTGTAGGCTGATATGGAATGTAAGACATCTATATTGTGTATATTCTGGAATACTTGTATTTACATACATAAACCCAAAAACCTTTCATAAATGTGAGTACACAATGTTTAAGTCTCTAATGCATATCGTGACATAGGTTATTCTTGGCAGTTGGGTCATATATGCCAATGCTATTAATTGGAACTTGAGGAGATATGAGACTGTAAGCTTATAGGGGGTTCACCCAGATACATTTAGTTGCAATAATTTGCTACATAGGGAAGAAAAGCTGTCCTTGGGTGTTATTTAATACAGTATTGTTAACTATCATGGGAATATGAGGAACTAAGATTTATCTTGGAGATAAGCATACTTAATTTGTAATGCCTTTATGAAAATATTTTAATTTGTTTGTCTAATAGAGGTTTCCTAAATTTTATTTTTAATGCCATCATAAAAAAGTGTAGTTCATAAATTAGATTTGGCCAACTCAACATGAAAGAGAAGCTCCTTTACTTCTTGATCAAAAATGCAGAGCTTGTACTGAGTCTGACCGTAATGAATTTAATAAGGAAAAATAAGGTTCTTTGAAATGATATTTCAAAGTCCTCTCAAAGAAGAGAAATTTAATAATTTGAAAGGTGAAAGTACACAGTAATTCCCATTTTTAACTATATTTGATAGAAAATAAGTGGCCAAACTCATATCTTTGAAATCACATTTCGATAATATTTTGAACAACAATATATGTTCTGCTGTAACTTTTTTTTTGCTGTTTCACTTTTTCTTTTCATTCCTTGCACTCTCCAGCAACAGTGTAGCTGGAGAAGAAAAGCAGGTGGGTGGGAGAAAGCTGAACAACACTTGCCACAAATCCCTGTGAAGAAAAAACTTTTACAGCTTTTATTCTGAAGCCTATTGTTTGTTTTAATAATGCAGCATTAGTAATTTCCATCCTAGCCAGCAGGCAGCCTGCCTCCACTTTATCCCATTGCTGGCAACAGAAAGATAAATAACAATGACTCACTGGCATTCTTTATTTAACTTTCAGTCAGTTGTGGGACTGGAGTCCTTGAGGCATGACACCACCTGCACAGCAGGAGGAAGTGTGACTTCTGATGTTCTTTTTGTTCTGACAGCTAAAAACCAGTCATATTTAGCTTAGAACCCTAATTTATGATGGGTAAATGTATTCCACCTTTAGTGTGCTTTTTGCCATTTGTAAAAGGGCTACAGCAGAGCCTTGATGAATCATCTTTTGTGCATTTGTGCGTTAAGATATAAATTCTGTTAATCTGCCTAAAATAACAAGGATTAATTACCAGGCAAGGACATGATACACTGCTTGGGCAGCTCACAATTTAGCTGTGTGTAGATCTTGATGCTCATCTAGGTTTTTCTTTCTGTCTTTGCATCTCGTCCTGACAGGTGTGTGCCCAATCACTGTGAACATGGTGGCAAATGCACCCAGACGTGGGACAGCTTCAAGTGCACTTGTGATGGAACTGGATACAGTGGCGCCACTTGTCATAACTGTAAGCCATCCTGCAGTTTCGCAATTGCAATGGAGTAGGGAAGACACTGATGTCTTCTGGTTGAGATAAAAAGTCAAAGTCTTCGTCTCTGGTTGTTAGAGATCCTAAAACCTTTTTTGAAAGGTGTAGGCTTAATCATACTCCACCTTGTCTACATAGTCATGTGTTTGTATAGCACTGTGCTGCGCTGTGCAAGGGACCAAAGCAGTACAGCTGTCTTAGCTGGGTGTACTGGGCAAACACATTACCAGCAATTGTGCTCTAGAGTTTCAGATGGGCACAGTGAATCTGCGCTAAGCTGCTGACCACTGCTAGAGAGATGCTCGTTCAGGTTGCTAATCCCAGAGCACATTTATATACTGATTATCGGCCATTCTAAAATCAGATTATTTACTCTGTTGTTATGAGTGTCTGAAATGAGAATATTTCCTATGAGCTCCACGTGCCCTACACTACTAAAGCACAGAAAAAAGAGAAGAAGGTACAGTTGCTCTTTTTATGGGTTCTGAACAATGTATGCAGAGTCAGCAGCATGTGGTTTCTGTTCCTTCTATTGTACACTACAGTGGGATTTTCATGTGCAAAGTGTATTCTAGAATATCTAGCAGATGCAGCAAACATATCCAATCCTTACTTTTCTCCCTTTTTTCTTTAGCAAACAACCTCTTAATATTGAGGAGATACTAAAAATGCTTCTGAACAGGAGGAAATTTAAAACTGAAGCCAGGATTTATATAGATTTATATTACTTTACTAATTACTTTAACTACAGCTGTGTAAAATGTTATGAAGGTAATTGCAGAATTCTTTTAATTAACCAAAAAATCCCAATAAGATAATTTTGAGAATTTACAGTTGTCTGAATTTCAACAAAAACCCATTCTATTTTTAAATATTTTATTAATGTAAGAGGCAATATATTTTATATAATAACTATTAATATTAATTGAATAACAAAGTTCTCCATGGTCTGGCTACTGAGATGGTGAACTGAAAGAGTTAGATGGCAAGTGAATGTTTATTAAAGAGAAAGATTTAAAGTACCAATGCTTGGAGAAGAAATTTCATGGGCAGCCCTTTTTCCACCAAGAGTGAATGTGCATAGTGACAGTGTGGTTACATCTAGTCTTGGGAAAGAAAACACGGAATTTACAGTGATGTAGTATTTCAATGAAACAAGGAAAAAAAAATCATATATTTCTCTGAAAGTATAGTATTTTAGAGCTTCAGCTGATCTATTACAGCCACTTGGAAAATATGATTCCTACCCTTGTGATAGGCTGTTAAGATGTTTAACTGCAGAAATGCAGGGATGGAAACTCAGTTAAGTAAGCGTATTTTATGTAGTGAGCCTCTGAAGTATAGTCTTCTAGAGGAAAATGTATTATGCTCGATCCAACAGCCCACCAGAGGTGAAACTGCTGCAGCTGCATTACCCCAGGTCCAACCAGCAGCAAGGCCATAAATGTATTCCTAGTAGGCATGCGCCCACAGATCCCATATGCGGCACATATACTTATATGCATGGCTGGCCGTACAGATCATAGACAGAGCATGTACATGAACACAGCACCAATGGCCCCATCCTGCTCCCCTCTCAGGCTGCGCAGGATGCATGTCCGCTAGCGAGAATAGTGACCATCCATATCCACACATGATGGATCCCTCCAGTGGCTCAGCTCAGGCACTCAGTCAGCCCAGTGGCTGGCCCTGGATCCCAGACTCCACAGCTGCTGATACTTGAACACTGGATGGCCTGACAGGGTATTATTTAGGCTCCCCCTCCCACCATTATCTGTCTGTGGTCCTGTGTGTGTGTGCAGACAAGCTTTTAAGACATAACCTAGCATAGTTTATCTTCCTTCATGAGTCCCAAAGAGAAGTAGCAAGGACAAACGGATGGCATCAGTTTTCTGAAATTACATTAGTTACAAAGGAAAGAAATAATAATCCAAGGACCTGTGAACATTTCTCTTAATAGGATTTTCACCTGCCTTTTATGGATAAAACAGTGCAATAAGGCAAGTACAAGGCACTGTGGGACTGCAAAGGGGGATTTGGAGTATATTGTCCCAAATTCAGCTATGGAATGCATAAAGTGTATGGGATTACAGCTGTCCAGGTCATTTGGAGACACATTGTTCAAGAACCTTTGCTTTTTTAATTCAGGCAAAGTTTCTAACTTAGACGTCTATGGGTTTGTTTTGTTTCATTTTTGTATTTAAAGAACATAATTTTAGTTTTTACCATGTGTGTTGCTATACTTTTAGAAGTCGTCTTTCTTACAAAAGGAGGGTGAGCAGAAAATTATTCACTTGATAGATATCCTGTCAAAATATGTGAAGTCTTATGCCTTTCTGGAATATAGAGTTTGATGGCACAAAAGTGAGCGAAAACCAAAAAATATAGCATCAAGCTATAGATTGAGACAACCTTAACTCTGCCTTTATTGAGCAGGCAATAGTGATCAGTATTTCAAGAGCATGTTCCAGCCATATTCACAGTATTAGGTATAGCTGCAAATAATGAGGGGATTGGTTGAAGCTTGTCAAAAGTTGTAGTCATACTGTCCGGATGTCTAGGCCCTCAGCTCTGCTACAATGATACTGACCCTATCTGGTCCTTTCCTACTTGTGCAGTGTGCCTGTGTACTGGGACATGCTTGTTGTGCTGCCTTTTACTTTTGACTTCTGATGTTTGTGGCAATAGTGGTACAAAAGAGATGCTGGGGGAGGAGGGAAGTTGGAATGTGGTATAAAATTAGCTGAAAACAACTTTAAACAGCATTGTGGGTTGTATGAAAGGCTGTAAAATTTAGCAGATGCCATGATTCTGTGGAGCAGGAAAGTGTTTAAGTGCAGACAGCACGTGTTCAGTACCAATTTACTTAAATATAACATTATTTTACAAAACAAATGGTATTATACTCTACAGTAAAATATGTATTTCTTTTCTCAATATATGTTTGTGCAGTGGGTATGACAGGGCGTTTCTCAAGGAGGTTGGAGTCAAGACTACATTAGTGGGGATTGTAACTCCATAGCTGATAATTTTAATGAGTTTGAGCTTTGCTGAACTTAAAGGAACAAGATAAATCTGTGTTACTGAAGGCTTTTTTTCAGTGAATTGATTTTGCTTTGGTCTGGGAATTCAACACTTTCTTGAGTTTTTGACCTGAAACAAGACAAAGCTTGACTGAATTTCAGATCTCAGGTTTAGGTTCCTTTGAAGCTGAAATTCAAAGACAAACTCAAGGAATGAACTCCTTGAAGTGAAACAGAAAAAAATATTCGAATGATATCCTCATGAGTCAAATTGGCTTTGTTTCACACAGGTCTGGTCATAATATATTTATAGTATGATAGTGAAAGCAACAGTCTAGAGAGATGGAGAAATATGTATTCTGTGACTGAGACATAGCAGAAACTGCAAACTGAAAATAAAAAGCTACAGAAGAAAAAATTTGAAATAAATCTGAAATAACAGACTTAATTCTTATCTCTCTAATTGTGTAAATAAATTACACACATTTACCATTTTAAGATCATTAAATAATTTGGTTTTCAGAATACGATAGAAGGCTCTTTATCTTTCAAAGACACCCCAAAATCTCCAAGCTCAGTGTTCACTATCTTGTTACTTGTCAGAGGCTTAAGTTCCATTCACAGAAGATGGTATCTCTACTCCACAATAATTTGTTTCATCCAGCTACAACTGGTCCCTGGAGCTCAATGGTGAATTAACCAAAAATACTGGAAAGTTGTATCTCTCATTGTATGGTAAATACCCTAGAAATCTGCCAGATATCTTTCAGTGTACAGATACTCAGTGCCCAGTGGAATGCTGTGGCCTGGCAAATACCAGACTAGAGCACTGATTTTATCCTTAGATAAGACTAAAAGATAAATGAACATATTTACTTAAAAATAATGATTTGCAGTGATGAAACAGTTACAAAATTATTTTTAAATTCATTATTAGGTTTATAATTAACAGTATCATCCTTACTAGCTTTATTGCATCAGCTATATTTTAATCCCCGACTAATTAACCTTTACAGCCTACAAAAGGTTGACCTGCTGTGCAGAGTGCTTAAAGTAGTATTTTTCCAGAGTCTATGGGAAAATGGTTCCTGGAGCCTTTGAGAACAGGAGCTAATTTTCCTTATTACTTCTCATCTCCATCATGATCTTTGCGTAACACCACTCTGCTGCACTTTGCACAAGTTATACATCTAGTTTTAGGCTCTAATGTGTTTCCTGCAGTCTACAGCTTCTTTAAAACAGAGTGGTATAAATTTACAAATTGTGTATCAGGATAAATAATGATCATTCAAGCTTCTTTGTCTCAGATTTTTAATATATAGCTCAATGCATGCTTTCTCTAGAATCTGCATGTAAGAGAAACACAATAAAGGATTTATTGACAGAGCTTACCATGACAATGATGTATCTACCCACCACCTCCTGCACAAACTTTGTTAGATTTAGGAAAAAGCCAGAAGAACCTAGTTTGATCATATTTGCCTTCTCCTAATGATTGCCAGTAGCAAAAAAGTCCAATTTGCACTTAGAAGATTAATCTTAATTATATCCATTTTTACTCAAATGAGAGACAAAGTTCTATTCTTCTTTAATTTCACCTTCAAACAAACACTATCCTTACATTTACAGGTGTACAGCCACCATTCCTTCAAGAGTATTGGTTAGGAAACTGTTTGCTTATAAATCTTTAGTTACTCCATAGGAGGGACTAACATCCAGCTCAATATGCACAATCCAGCACAATATGTTGCCTGTTAGTTCTGTAAAAGCCGTAGGAGAAATAATACAATCTTACACACTCTTGTATTAATTTTATCAGAATATATAGACAATGCAACTCTGTTGAGAAAGAACATAACACAACTTTTATATTTTTATATTTTATATTTTTAGATTGACAATGTGCTGTGTTTTCAAAACAAGTATTTGAAACAATGTAGTGATTCTTAGTGTTAA